AGAGCCTCGTGAAAAAATGATAGGACGAAGAGGAACACCAGGTTTATGACTCTTAGGAAGACCATAGAAATAAGGAAGAGAAAGGCAGATGACACGGAAACGTTTAATGAGATCAAAGTCAGGAGGACAAAGACTAGAGAGCTGTCTTAGTTTGCGGTTAAAGGAAGTTTTGAGGTGATCCAAAGAGTTAGAAGTCAGAGGAGCATAAGTGCGAGAGTCAAGAGAGCAAGACATCTGCTTTTCGGAGGTAGTCCTCACGGTCAAGGACAACCACCGAATTGCCTTTGCCAGAAGGAAGGATAAGAATAGAGTTGTTAGATTTCAGGGAGGCAAGGGCAAGCTGGAAGCTACGAGGAAGGTGGTAATTCTTAGAAAACAAGCTGTCAAGAACGGATGTATTTGAGAATGTGTGGCGGCCTCCTCCCGGGTAAGTCCCTCTTTTTCCTGTCTTTGGTTATGTATCTCCAGGGAGCTGTAGGGGCTCCGCACAGAAAACCAGCATTGAATATAATGAAATGCTATTTTCTGGGTGAGCCCAGAAGGCTCCCTGGAAACCCTACCTCTTGTCGGCAGTTTTCATGCGGTTGATACTTAGCCTTTGAACTGGAGTTGCTGGATCACCAGCATGTGGGGTCTGGGGCTCCCTCCCTCTCCCTCCCAGGGGTGGGGGCTGCACAGACTAGCGATGTGGAAGTGGAGTGTGAAGTTATCTTGTTTCCTTGGGATTGGGGGAAGTTCTGCCTCTGTTTGGTTTCGGTTGCAATTTTCTTACCATGTGGGTGTTTTTGTTATGTCTACCTTTCTGGGTGCCTAACCCTGGTAAATAACAGATAAGCCCCAACCACAGGGGGGGTTTCTTTGGTCCGTGTTTCTTTGCGGTTAGTTGTTTCGGGTTGTACTTCTGCTGAGCTATCAGGGTTTCGCTCTCCGCACTGTTCACATTCAAGGCATGTCCGTTGTTCTGGGGCCGGCCTGTCCCGTTTCCTTCCTCCTTCCACGGAGTAGCCATTCGGCACCGCTTCCTTCCTTTGACTTTGCCGGGCATACGGCCGCCCCAAGATGGACCACTTCGCGTCAGTGTGAGCTCTGCGTTTTCCATTGTTTGTAGCGCCGTTCCCTGACTGCAAGGGCTTTGCAGTAGATGTTTTTGGCTGGACTGGTCGAGGTGGGGGTTTTTGTTCCTCTTCCCCCTGGTTCAGCTTTTGCTCAAAGTCCTGGCTCGCTTAGAATCCTTTCAGGGAAGGGTTCTTATTCTGGCTCCATGGTGCCTGGACCAGCCTTGGTTTCAGTTGCTGCTTGCTTGGTGTCCTAACCCGGGTGACTGTCCACGGCTCTGCATCTACCACCATCTTGGGCCAGTAAAACACCATGCTGGTTTTCTTTTTTGTTCTGTACTTCATGTCTGGTCTTTCTTACACGGGTGTATCACCATTTCTATGATGATCAGGTGGCTTCTTTGATAGTTTTGAAGGACAAATATTAGTGCGTCTGGCCTTGAGGGCGGCCGCCGATCAGCTGACTGTGTGAGTAGCTACGTCTTTGTGGCCTTTACTCACCATACAAGCTTAGATGTACAGTTATGGTGAACAAAACATGTAAATACGTATATATAACGTCTGTGTATAGTGAATAAATACAGAAAGAGTATTGAAGGAGGTGAATGAGGGTGAGTGAGGTGGTGTTGAGGGAGGGAGTGGCAGTGAGTGGCTCGCTGGTGTTTGGTGGTCACTCCTCGTTGCTTTTTGACTCACAAGACCAACTTAGTAGTTCGTTATGGTGTACAAAACATGCAAATACTTATATATAACCTGTGTATATAGTGTAACAACAGCAAAACTATTTGTTTATTGTTTTATGAACATAATAATTGAATCACTAATATGCACACCATAATTTTGAGTACAGCGATGGTTCACACATTTTATAATATAAATATACCATAATTCACTGCATGGAATAATATTACTGCAAAAAAACTAAGAAAAAATCAATCAGAGACATTGAAATAATTAGGTAATAATATATTTGTGGCAACTGCCATCTGACAGCTCGGGCGGAGTAGACCTCATCTGGCGAAGGCTCTGCCAACGCCCCTTTTTTGCCACACTTCCCTACCCTATTGCGGCTAAAATATGCCACCTACGATTTTTTTGTTATTTTTTCCGTGATCAGGGAACAAAAATGAACACTTCTGTTAGACGAAAGAATTTTTTGGAATTTTTTTTTTTGTTGCGCCTGTGGGTGTGAATTCCATTTGGGCCCCTAGCGGTTTGAGGGTTAAGGGTTAATATCCTGTCATCCCCACAGGCGCATGTCATTTTGAAAAAAAAAAAATTATTTTTTCTTCCTAACCTGTTAATTTGTGTTCACTGATCACGGGAAAAATAATAACTAAATCGTAAGTGGCATATATTGCCCGCTATAGGGCGGGGAAGTCTGGCAAATTATAGGCGCTGACTCAGCATGCGTCCCAGGCGGTCTGTTGCTCGCCAGCTGTCAGGCCGAAGTTGCCACAAAGAGATAATTACCTAATTATTTCAATGTCTCTGATTGATTTTTCATAGTTTTTTTGCTGTAATATTATTCAATAGTGTGTAGTTTGATATATTTATATAATAAAATGAGTGAATCATCGCTGTACTCAAAAATATGGTGTGCATATTGTTGATTCAATTATGTTCATCAATCAGTGAACAAATACTTTGTCGGTTATTACACTATAAGCACAGGTTATATATAAGTATCTGCATGTTTTGTTCACTATAACAAACCACTAAGTAGCTATCATGAGTCAAAAAGTAACGAGGAGTGACCGCCGTGTACCAGCCAGCCACTCCCACCCTCCCTCCAGTCATCTGACTCACCCACATTCTCCTCCCACAATACTGTTTTTGCTATAATTCACTATATACAGATGTTATATATAAGTATTTACATGTTTTGTTCACCGTAACTGTACATCTAAGCTTGTATGGTGAGTAAAGGCACAAAGACGTAGGACCTCACACAGTCAGCTGATGGCTGCCGCCCTCAAGGCCAGACGCACTAATATTTCTCCTTCAACAATACTGTGTGGTGTTATTACGCTATATACACACATTATATATAAATATCTACCTGTTTTATTCACCATACTTGTACAAATAAACTGGTATGGTGCCCAAAGACCATCATGGTAACCAGTAAACAACACCGTCGTCTGCACGGTGGCGTCGTGCAGACGACGCCACCAACCTCACCAAAATGGCGGCTCCAAGCCTTCTCTTGCTGTTTATACCCTCTATACACACGTTATATATAAGTATCTACATTTGTGTTCACCATAGTGAACCACTCAGCTGGTATGCTGAGTGCAGTCAATAAAAGGTGGCCACACACAGTCAGAAGACATCGCCACCACCCTCCCTCCCACAGCATTACTCCTCCCTCCATGGCGCACAGCGCTAAATATCACCACAATCCTGCTATTATCAGAACCCTGGTCAGTTTTATCACAGTCAGGGGTCTTCTGTAATAATATCATCGCTACATAATAGCATGAACAAGTATATTTTGGCATTTTTAGGCGATGCTGTGGTCACAAGCTGAACAGCAGTGCTGTTAGCTCATGCTGCGTGCGTCAGGCTTGGTTGCTTACTCAATACTGAGGCCAATAACACCCGGGAGTTTGGCCCACAATTTAAAAAAAAAATGGCGTCTGTTTACAAGAGCCCTGATAAAGGTGTGGTGAACCCCGTGTATCCGCGGGCCGTTTAAATTTTGCGTAGTACTCCAACACATCATATGACATGATGCGCAGTTGATTGGAACAACGTCCAACACGTCATATGACGTGATGCACACTTTAAGGGTTAAGCAAGGGTACTAGGAACAGCTTCTCAGACCAGCTCCTAGAACAGCTCCTTGAACAGCTCCTGTGACAGCTCCTAGGACAGGTTCCCAAATTTATGTGACGGGTTGTGGTATCGCAGCTATACTGAACCAAGATGGTATGGCTCTCCCTCACACAAATAAAAAAAAATGCTGCTATTGGCCTTGCAATGTGTAAGTCGCAGGTGGAAACAAATGAAAATCATCAACTAAATAATTAAACAATTTACTGAAATAGTAATGAACAAAAATGACACATGACAATACTTGCCTATCATGTAATGCAAAGGTGAACAAGTTAATATGACATTAATACAAAAATAAACTATAAGCAATTAATATGAATCATAAATACATATACTGGTGTACTGAAGACAGCTACCATACCACCATGGCATCAGTCTCACGACATTGGCTGAAGGCAGACAACGGGTGAGAAACATGAAGGTGATCATAGAGCACTAAGGGAGAGACTGACTCTCCAGGGAGGCAGCGCCCTTTATATAGTCTGGCGGTGATGACTCATCCAGTGTTAACGCAAGGTGGACATCTAGTCAACTAGCAAACTGCTCATTTGTGGCTGGTGGTGCCTTTGTGTTGAGCTGCACCACTGTTAGTTGAAGGCGGCTAACTGCTTGTTTGTGCGGGCAAACTACCGGTTAGCAGTGGCGCCCGGCTTGCCTCTGATCCGGGAATGTTGTCCACGATTTGGAAAAAAATGGCGGCTACTAGAGCCCTGAGGAAACTGATGTGAAACCTGCGTAGCCGCAGGAGTTTTGAATGATACGCTATACCTATGAGAGCCTCAAGGTGCGTTGCGCACCACCCATCAAGAGCCTCAAGGCGCATTGCGCAGGGCAGTGGTTAAACTAATGGTAAAGTTCATAGATTCTGTGCTGAACATTTCATGTCCATAGACTTTGTGGAGAAGGCATTGGGGGGGGACACCCCCCCCCATTCAGGAGGGCACTGGGCCAATCCTGACTTCCCTATGACAATTCTGATCACTATAAATCCTGTAAAGTTTAATGAATCTAGGCTCAAGTGTCTGGCCTCCAACCTCGCACAAACAATTTAACACTTTCTCTTTTATAGATAAAGACTGGTTAACAGTGTTTCTTTCTTTACAGTTAAACTATTGAGACACATTCATATTGAAGAGGAAGAGTGTTTTAGAGAGAAGGAATTCACATCACTACATGCAAACAACAGTACTCCTGGTGTAAAAACTGGAGGTATGTTTTATGAAGACAGTGTATATTTTGATTTTTACTATGCAAGTTCTTAAATTCTGTATAATGTTTTTGTACTTGTTTTCTGAGGGTAGCCTCTTCGGCTCCCCGGAGCTATCCAGGCTGATATGTATATTATTAGAATTTGGCATCAGTCAGTGTGAATGGAGTTCTAGGCCTTCCGGGGACCACGAGCCAGAACCTGGCCCCCTCAGAGAGGCACGAGGAGCAATGCCTATTGAAATTCACAGGTGTAATTACCTAAGTGTAGTTACAGGATGAGAGCTACGCTCATGGTGTCCCGTCTTCCCAGCACTCTTTGTCATAAAACACTTTGAAATCACTGACGGTTTTGGCCTCCACCACCTTCTCATCTAACTTGTTCCAACTGTCTACCACTCTGTTTACAAAAGTGAATTTTCGTATATTTCTTCGGCAGCTTTGTTTTGTTAGTTTAAATCTATATAACATCTTGATCTTGAAGTTCCGGGGCTCAGGAATTCTTCCCTATCAATTTTATCGATTCCTGTTACTATTTTGTACGTAGTGATCATATCGCCTCTTTTTCTCCTATCTTCTAGTTTTTGCATATTTAATGCCTCTAATCTCTCCTCGTAGCTCTTGCCCTTCAGTTCTGTGAGCCACTTACTGGCATGCCTTTGCACCATTTCCAGTTTGTTGATGTGCTTCTTAAGATATGGGCACCACACAACTGCTGCATATTCCAGCTTTGGTCTAACAAAAGTCGTGAACAATTTCTTTAGTATATCGCCATCCATGTGTTTAAAAGCAATTCTGAAGTTAGAAAGTGTAGCATAGGCTCCTTGTACAATGTTCTTGATGTGATCCTCAGGTGACAGTTTTCTATCTAGAACCACCCCTAGATCCCTTTCTTTGTCAGAATTCTTTAAAGATTTCTCACATAATTTATAGGTTGTGTGGGGTCTATGTTCTCCAATTCCATATTCCATAACATGGCATTTATTCACATTAAATTCCATTTGCCAAGTGGTGCTCCATATACTTATTTCATCCAGGTCTTCTTGAAGGGCATGACAATTATCTAGGCTCTTTATCTTCCCTAATATCTTAGCATCATCAGCAAACATGTTCATATAATTCAACCCATCCTCCGAATAGACAGTACGTTTTAATACTAAATGTAATAAGTACATTTCCCTACATACATAATTAGTACATAATTGCACTTATGGGGCTGTTAAATGTTCTGGCTGACCTCCATATATTCTCCCGAAACATTGAACAATGAATCGTTTTCTCTAATGTAACAGGTGTGCTGTTTTCTTTCCTTAAATTTTGCGGATACTCAGTCAATTTTGCATATACTCGTATACATACTCAGCACAAATTTGGCCTTTATAATTTAAGGTATCATGAAAATTGCCCGCTTTTGAGGCAATTAAGTACTGTAGACACTCGATTATCTGGGATTCGACCTTCCAGAAAACGCCCTTATCCGGCTAAAATCGTGACCGAATAAAGTTATCTCACTATCCGGCAAAAATGTCCATCGGAGCCGGATAAAAGCCGGTTTGGCCGGTTAAAAAATCTGAGCTGGTGGGCCGTACCATATTAATCCCGTACAGCTGTGGCTCAAGGCCATGGTGTAGGAGGGAGTAGGGTGGGTGGGTGGTGTCAGGAGAGAGGGGAGCGTTGGGAGGGACCACCTGAAGGATTACGGTCAGGAAGGGAGGGAGGGAGTTGGTCAGGAAGGGAGGGAGGGAGTTGGTCAGGAAGGGAGGGAGGGAGTTGGTTAGGAAGGGAGGGAGGGAGTAGGTCAAGAAGGGAGGGAGGGAGTTGGTCAGGAAGGGAGGGAGGGAATTGGTCAAGAAGGGAGGGAGGGAGTTGGTCAGGAAGGGAGGGAGGGAGTTGGTCAGGAAGAGAAGGAGGGAGTGGGTCAGGAAGGGAGGAAGGGAGTTGGTCAAGAAGGGAGGGAGGGAGTTGGTCAGGAAGAGAAGGAGGGAGTGGGTCAGGAAGGGAGGAAGGGAGTTGGTCAGGAAGGGAGGGAGAGAGTTGGTCACGGAGGGAGGAAGGGAGTTGGTCAGGAAGGAAGGGAGTTGGTCATGGAGGGAGGAAGGGAGTTGGTCATGGAGGGAGGAAGGGAGTTGATCAGGAAGGGAGTTGGTCAGGAAGGAAGGAAGGAAGGAAGGAAGGAAGGAAGGAAGGAAGGAAGGAAGGAAGGAAGGAAGGAAGGAAGGAAGGAAGGAAGGAAGGAAGGGAGTTGGTCAGGAAGGGAGGGAGGGAGTTGGTCACGGAGGGAGGAAAAACTGTTGTAGTGTGTATGTGACTCGCTTAAGCCTAACGAAGGAAGGTGGCGTTGGCAGTGTTGCAAGAATTATATTGTTTTCTTATTGCTGTGGAGAGCTAGTTACAAATATTAATTAAATAACACTATAATAGGTGAACAGTACATTACAGTATTTGGTTTGTTATTTATTCATTTAAATATTTACAATAAAATAAAATGGGATTTAACAGAACTTAAGGCGCATATCTTAAAATCATCGTACAGCGTGTCAACACCCACGTGTCGACATACAGAATTCCTGAGACCCGGAACTTCAAGAACAAGAGGTCATAGATTTAAACTAACGAAACAAAGCTGCCGGAGAAGTATAAGAAAATTCACTTTTGTAAACAGAGTGGTAGACGGTTGGAACAAGTTAGGTGAGAAGGTGGTGGAGGCCAAAACCGTCAATAATTTCAAAGCATCATATGATAGAGTGCTGGGGAGACGGGACACCACGAGTGTAGATCTCCTCCTGTAACTACACTTAGGTAATTACATGTGGAGGGGAGATGGGAAGGCTGGTGTGAGGTGGGGGTGACCAGGCAGATGACACGTGTCATCTCTCTGTTCCAGGCTCGCCAACTCACCCACCTGTTCACCCACTTCCCTGCCCACCCACCTGTTTACCCACCTGTCTGCATGCCCACCTGTTCACCCACTTCCCTGCCCACCCACCTGCCTGCATACCCACTTACCCACCTGCCTGCACACCCACTTACCCACCTGCCTGCACACACCCACTTACCCACCTGTTCACCCACTTCCCTGCCCACCCACCTGTTCACCCACTTCCCTGCCCACCCACCTGTTCACCCACTTCCCTGCCCACCCACCTGTTCACCCACTTCCCTGCCCACCCACCTGTTCACCCACTTCCCTGCCCACCCACCTGTTCACCCACTTCCCTGCCCACCCACCTGTTTACCCACCTGTCTGCATGCCCACTTACCCACCTGTTTACCCACTTCCCTGCCCACCCACCTTGTTACTCATCTGCCTGCATGCCCACTTACCCACCTGTTCACCCACATCCCTGCCCACCCACCTGTTCACCCACTTCCCTGCTCACCCACCTGTTTACCCACCTGCCTGCACACCCACTTACCCACCTGTTCACCCACTTCCCTGCCCGCCCACCTGTCTGCATGCCCACTTACCCACCTGTTTACCCATTTCCCTGCCCACCCACCTGTTTACTCACCTGCCTGCATGCCCACTTACCCACCTGTTTACCCACTTCCCTGCTCACCCACCTGTTTACTCACCTGCCTGCATGCCCACTTACCCACCTGTTTACCCACTTCCCTGCCCACCCACCTGTTTACTCACCTGCCTGCACACCCTCTTAGCCACCTGCCAATCCATCCACCCACCTGTTCACCCACCTACCTGCACACCCACCTGTCAATGCACCAACTTCCCTGCCTACCTACCTGTTTACCCACATGCTTGCACGCCCACTTACCCACCTGTCAATACACCCACCTGTTCACCCACCTGCCTGCTCACCCACCCACCTATTCACCCACCTGCCTGCTCACCCACTTGCCTGCTCGAACCTGCTCGAACCAAGTCCATCTACCTGCCATCCATTCATCCAAAACCCACCTGCCTGAACCCACCTATCCTTGCCAGCCCACCCACCCACCCACCTGCCTGCCCACCCACTTTCCCTGCCCACCTACCAGCTAGGCAGCTAACCACCCACCCAGCCCCACACACTAATTAGTGTGTCAATTCAAATCATGAGTGTAGTATAAAAATTGTCGGAAATGGTCCCTTTTGGACTCAGAGGTGAAAAAGTACTATTATCCGGAACATGTGAGAATCCGGCTGGGGGTCCTTCCCATATAATCCGGATAACCGGGTGGAGACAGTATAGCAGAAGCACAGTCACTGACATTCAAAGGACAGAAGGTATGAGATAACGATGTAAATGACAATTTAAATCCTTCTAATTTTTGCTTATTCGTCAATGAGAACTGATGCCAACGCACTGGCCAATAAACTGGATAATACTGGCCACTAAACAATAAACTGAACCTATCATAAAGAAGAACGACGACCATTGACCATCTAGTGCTCTCATAGTGTCTAACTGTAAGAAACAATGCTTAAGTCCTGACTAACAGTCAAATATTTATCCATCAACCATGAAGCGAAGTCATGCGGCCCCCAACATCACCTGTCATGCTGTCATTCAATTGAAAAGACTTCTCTGGTTTTACATAGGTTTACCGTGAGAGACACTTACAATAGTAACCTTGAAGTGGAAAGGAAATTGGCAGCTTTTCGAAGGTATACCTTGATGATATTTTCCAGCTATACTTTAAAAGAAAAGTTAACAGATGTTTGTCTTTTACGCTTCGGCGGGTAGGCGGTTCCATCGATATTTACCAACCCTCAGGGTGAATACTTATATCACACAAACTGCACCTATCAGTAGGGAAAAAACTAACCAGTCTCCAGATAGCAGGACGTGATTCGGTTTTCATGGATATATTCATTTTCGGGTGTTCGACTTCAATTCTCCAACTTTGTTTTGGAAATATGAAAAGTCACAGCATGGTGCATTCAGATGATAAATCAAAATGACTTTTACGAAGTCAGTGCAGAATGTCTGAATCTTTATACGTAGACATCTTATAAATGTGAATATTCTCGTGTATATATTTATTTATTTATTTATTTA